GGACCCAGCCATACGCAACTGTTCGTAACGCGTTGTGGGTGCCGCTTTCGGTGGGGTTCCTTGTGGGGCCACGAAACGCTGCCTTGGGTGGGGGAACCGCATGCGAACTGAGCCACTGGGGCAGGCCTTCGGTGGAGCTCCCTATGGGGCCACGAAACGCTGCCCTGGGTGGGGGAACCGCATGCGAACTGCGCCACTGGGGCCTTCGGTGGAGCTCCCTATGGGGCCACGAAGCGCTGCCCTGGGTTGGGGAACCGCATGCGAACTGCGCCACGGGGCCTTCGGTGGAGCTCCCTATGGGGCCACGAAGCGCTGCCCCACCGCGTGCGAGAGGCCACTGGGGCCTTCGGTGGAGCTCCCTATGGGGCCACGAAGCGCTGCCCTGGGTGGGGGAACCGCATGCGAACACCCCCACTGGGGCCTTCGGTGGAGCTCCCTATGGGGCCACGAAACGCTGCCCTGGGTGGGGGAACCGCATGCGAACACCCCCACTGGGGCCTTCGGTGGAGCTCCCTATGGGGCCACGAAACGCTGCCCTGGGTGGGGGAACCGCATGCGAACACCCCCACTGGGGCCTTCGGTGGAGCTCCCTATGGGGCCACGAACGCTGCCCTGGGTGGGGGAACCGCATGCGAACACCCCCACTGGGGCCTTCGGTGGAGCTCCCTATGGGGCCACGAAACGCTGCCCTGGGTGGGGGAACCGCATGCGCCATGCCCTGCGCTGCCCTGGGGGGGAACCATGCGAGAGCAGCCACTGGGGCCTTCGGTGGAGCTCCCTATGGGGCCACGAAACGCTGCCCTGGGTGGGGGAACCGTATGCGAGAGCAGCCTGGGGCCTTCGGTGGAGCTCCCTATGGGGCCACGAAGCGCTGCCCTGGGTGGGGGAACCGTATGCGAGAGCAGCCACTGGGGCCTTTGGTGGAGCTCCCGATGGGGCCACGAAACGCTGCCCTGGGTGGGGGAACCGCATGCGAGAGCAGCCGCTGGGGCCTTCGGTGGAGCTCCGAATGGGGCCACGAAGCGCTGCCCTGGGTGGGGGAACCGCATGCGAGAGCAGCCACTGGGGCGTTTGGTGGAGCTCCCCATGGGGCCACGAAGCGCTGCCCTGGGTGGGGGAACCGCATGCGAGAGCAGCCACTGGGGCCTTCGGTGGAGCTCCTCATGGGGCCACGAAACGTTGCCCTGGGTGGGGGAACCGCATGCGAAAGCAGCCACTGGGGCCTTCGGTGGAGATCCCTATGGGCCACGAAGCGCTGCCCTGGGTGGGGGAACCGCATGCGAACTGCGCCACGGGGGCCTTCGGTTGAGCTCCCTATGGGGCCACGAAGCGCTGCCCTGGGTGGGGGAATCGCCTGCGAGAGCAGCCACTGGGGCCTTCGGTGGAGCTCCCCTATGGGGCTACGAAACGTGTGAGAGGTGTGCCGAGAGCAGAAGCAAGCAGGGGGAGGAGGGAGGAGGGAGGGGGCAGCGGGAGGAGAAGGAGACGCGGGGCACCGTCTCTTCAAAACGAGGACCCAACACCACAGGATGGTTGGGACAGGTTCAACGCGAATTTGCGCTGCGGTACGGCGAGAGCCACATATTGAAATCGACGCGCCCTCCATCCGATTTGCTGGTGCGAACTTTGAAGACGAATGTGCGTTGCAATATGGCGAGAGCCGGCGAGAGCCACATTTTGACAACGGCCCGCGCTCCATCTGTGAAATTGTTGTTAACTTTCATGCCGAGTGTGCGCGGCGCTCAGGCGAACGCAACCTTTTGACAACGACCCGCCCTCCATCCGTGACGCTGGTGCAAACTTTTAGGTTCGGAAGAATGTGCGCGGCGCGCATGCGGACGCCACATTTCGAAAACGACCCGCCCTCCATCCGTGCACATGTTGCAAACTTTTACGACCAGTCTGCGTGCCGCTAAGACGAAAGCCACATTTTGATAACGGCCCGCCTCCATCCTTGAAGACGAATGTGCGCGGCCCGGAGGCGAAAACCACATTTTGAAAGCGACGCGCCCTCTATTTGCGAAGCTGTTGCCAGCTTTCGTGGCGAATGTGCGCGTTGCTCAGGCGAACGCCACATTTTAATCATGGTTTTCCATCCGTGAAGCTGCCGCAAGCTTTCAGGCAAATGTGCTCGGCGCGAAGGCGAAAGCCACATTTTGACAACAATCCGCCGCCCATCCGTGAAGTTGTTGAAGTTTTGACGAATTTGCACGGCGCCAAGTCGAGAGTCGCGGAGCTGCGGCACGATTTCGATGCGAATTTGCGCTTGCGCGGTGCCCATGCGAGAGCCGCATCTTGAAAACGACCCGCCCTCCACCCGTGAAGCTGTTGCAAGAATTTCAAGGCTAACCTGCGCTGCGCTACGGCGAGAGCCACATATTGAAATCGACGCGCCCTCCATCCGTGAAGCTGCTGCAAGCTCTGAAGGCGAATGTGCGCTTCAATACGGCGAGAGCCGCATTGTGACAACGGCCCGCGCTCCATCTGTGAAGCTGTTGTTAACTCTCATGCCGAGTCTGCGCGGCGCTCAGGCGAACTCAACCTTTTGACAACGACCCGCCCTCCATCCGTGACGCTGGTGCAAACTTTTAGGACGAATGTGCGCGGCGCGCATGCGGACGCCACATTTTGAAAACGACGCGCCCCCCATTCGTAATCGTAGTCGGAGTAGTGGTAGTAGTTGCCGTCGTAGTAGTAGTCTCGGCAGTATTAGTAGTATCATTATTATTAGTAGTAGTAGTAGTAGTAGTAGTAGCAGTAGTAGTAGTTGTAGTCTTAGTAGTAGTTGTAGTCTTAGTAGTAGTAGTAGTAGTAGTAGTAGTAGTAGTAGTAGTAGTAGTAGTAGTAGTAGTAGTAGTAGTAGTCGTAGTCGTAGTCGTAGTCGTAGTAGTAGTAGTAGTAATAGTAGTAGTTAGTAGTAGTAGTAGTAGTAGTAGTAGTAGTAGTAGTAGTAGTAGTAGGAGTAGTAGGCGTCGTCGTAGTCGTCGTCGTAGTAGTAGCAGTAGTAGTAGTAGTAGTAGTAGTATGGTAGTAGTAGTAGTATTGGTAGTAGTAGCAGTAGTAGGAGCAGTCGTAGTAGTAGTAGTAGTAGTAGTAGTAGTAGTAGTAGTAGTAATCGTAGTCCTTTTAGTAATCGTAGTAGTAGTAGTAGTAGTAGTAGTCGTAGTAGTAGCAGTAGTAGTCGTAGTATTAGTAGTAGTGGTAGTAGTCGTAGTCGTAGTTGTAGCAGTAGTA